TGTAGGGCAGGTGCCAGGCAGCCTTGGAACACCATTTTGCTCAGGTTTTAATACCATAGGGTCATGATGGATTAGAGCTAGCCCCTATGTGAGAAGTTTGGGGGAGTTTAGGGTCTCCAAGCCCTGTGCTTGGAGTAGGATGGTGTTCCCCTGCCCCAGTGAGGGGGTTGGCGAGACCCTGGTCCTTCCTGCATGCGTGGTGTGTTAGTACCTAGCTAATGCAGCCCCAATGTGTTGGGCCCTGCAGTGCATATCTCCCCCTCTGCCCCATCAGCTGATGGCTTTGCCCTCCTTGCAGCATCAGGGTTCACAACCCAAGATCCCACCCCACCCCCACCCCTACCCCTGCCAGCCAGCTCTGCTGGCGTGGAGTGATGGCTGGGGCATGTGTCCTTCTCCTGAGTGAGGAATGCTGATGGGGTGGCCTCAGAGTGAGGGGGCAGTTGAGCTGCTCTCGGGCCCTAGCACCCAGGCCCTCAAACACCCATCTGTCTTCTCCCTCCCAGACCTGCCAGGCCCTGTGAACGGCGAATCCATGTCCCAGAAAGGGGAGAACGCTGAGGAGAAGGAGCGGGACAAAGCGGCAGGAGCAGGCGACAGTCAGCGCGAGGCCCCCACCGAGGACACGCACAACGAGTGAGCAGCAAGCACTGGGAGGGCAGGGCTTGCCTGCCTGCACCTGACTGGAGAGCTCTGAGCATTAGCCTCTCACTTGGCAGGGGTGGCTGTGTGCTGCTATCTGGGGCCACGGTGCCTCCCAGGGCAAGTGCCCATTCACAACAGCACTGAGGCCAGACCTGCTCTGGGGACAGGGGTCCTGCTAGCCCAGCCTCTCTGGGCCTGTGCCATTCCCCCCCCAAACTCCCACCATGTGGCAGTGGTGTCTCATGATCATTATGAGCTGGAGAGGCAGTGATAAGGGTGTTCCTGTCCCCATGCTTGTCCATCACAGCAGGGTTGAGGCAGGCACTTGGGTGGCCTGCGGTGCATGGAGGGAGGTGCGGCAACCACAGGCTCCAGCCCCACCCCCACGGGAAGTGTGACAAGTCTCTTGTGTTTTTCCTGCCAGCGCACCAGACTATCCCGAGACTGACAGGCCTGGCCCAGACAGGGAGAGGGTCCGTGCTGCATCGGAGTCCGTGGATGACAATGAGGAGAGCTGAGACCATGGCTGGCGTGGAGAACACCGCAGCGTTGCCCCGCCGCCACGGAGACCGGCCTCTGCCTTGCCCCGTGTTTCAGAGTCACTTCACTAAGCCACACAGTAGATGATGTCTAGGTCTTGTCCCTGCCCCTGCTCCTGGGACCGCCGAGAACTCTGGGGAGAGCCGCGTGTCTGTTTGTACTTGTCCCTCTGTTTGGTTCTGTTTTTGTTTTTTTTCCTCCTCGTCCCCCCACCCCGTCCCCACCTGATTCCTTGTGATTGGAGCCGACATGAAATGACTATAAAGGGTTTTTTAATGAACGCTCTCCCTCAGCCGTCTGTTTGTCTCGCTCTGCTGCTGGCTACAGCTCACAGGGATGGGCAGGAAGCAGGTGCCAATGGTTTCTGCCCAAGTGGCCACACTTGGGGATGGGCACTGGAGAATCACACCAAGCTAATTCCTGCCCAGCACTGGAGTCTGTGCCCCTCTCCGCCAGCCAGGGACCCCAGGGTGGCCACCTGCTCCCAGCTGGCTTTGGACAGTTGCATCCTGGACCCCTGCCTTTTCCAGCAGGAGTGTATGGCCCAGAGCAGACCTTGGCACCAGGCTGGCTCTCTAGGGCTAAAACTTCCAGCTGGCAGGGACCAGAAGGCACCAGCATGGTGTGAGCATCCTTTTCATTGTGGGTTCTAGTGACCACCCTTCGTGTGGCCGTGCTGTGCAGGTCAGGCTCCCCCAACCTTGTAAGCAGAAGCCATCCCAGCAGCCAGCACCCTGTGCTCCCCCAATCTGAAGCCCTCGGCCCTATCCTGTGACGTCTATGGGACTGCCAGAGATGCCCAGTTTGGCTCTCGGCATCTCATTCCTCCAGCAGGAGGATGGAGCGTTCTCTA